ACGCACCCACATGCGTCTAGCGTGAGTTTAAGCCACTGGGTCCAGGACTTGAACCACAGTCGACTATATGAGAGTCCAGCGACATAGCCATTATGCCAACTGCTGGTCCCAATAATTCTTTAAAAAAAAAAAAAGCTGTGTCCATATACTTTAAAAAGAAATCCTTTATATTATTTTCCTAATAAAAAATAATAACAAGGTCAAAACTAAAGTACTAAGCTAAACTAAACTACTACCTATGAGCAGGAGTTCACAATGAGTTGTGTATGGATAATCTTCCAATAACTCTTATAACTAATGTAGGGCTCTTTGAAAGCCCTAACCAGCAATTGCTCTGCTATGAAATAATCCCAATTCCCAAATTCACAGCAGGATTAACCAAGATGTTTATAAGCAATTCTCTATACCATGATCTTAACATTATTAAAATGAAAAGTTTTATGTTTCATCTAAACACTTCAGTATTTCTACTGCTGTCAGAAATACATAAACATAAACGCCCATTTGGATTAATTCTTACATTGTCACTAAGAGTAGACCCAGAAATCTATGCATGGTAATGATAGTTACTAAACAGACAGGCTAGAGGAAAACATCTTTGAAAAACAGTTTTTGAAGCCAATAAAAGCAATAATGGATAATAACTTTGCATTGGGGGCAGCAGGTGGCATGGTGGTTCCAGGAGCTGGACTCACATGACTGACTGCAGTTCAAGTCTCGGACCTGGAAGCTCGTTTTCTCATTTCTCCTTTCTCTTTCTCTCTCACTCTCTCCTGCTCTCTTCCTCTCTGGTCAAATTAAAATAAATAAAGTCACATGACTGACTGCAGTTCAAGTCTCGGACCTGGAAGCTCGTTTTCTCATTTCTCCTTTCTCTTTCTCTCTCACTCTCTCCTGCTCTCTTCCTCTCTGGTCAAATTAAAATAAATAAAGTTAGGGGCTGGCAGGTGGCATGGTGATTAAGGGCACTGGACTCCTACATGGCTGACCATGGTTCGAGTCCCAGACTTGGCGGCCTGGCTTGCTTCCTCACTTTCCCTCTCTTTCTTTCTCACTCTGCCACTCTCTGGTCAAATTAAAAATAAATAAGTAAATAAAGTTCAATAAAATAATTTTTAAATAAACAAATAAAGTTAAATAATTCTTTTTAAAAAACTTTGCATTTGTGGTTCAGTCTAAAATTAAAAAGAAAAATATATAAAAATATTGGCAGTATTACAGTTAAAAGTCCTAAGTCAACAAATGTCTAATTCAGAAGTTATTTAACCCTACACTATCGTAATAGCCAAGTTATGAGGTGACCAAGAACCTTAGGTGCTAAGCACCTAAAGGCTAGAAAAGCACCTAAGGGCTATAAAGAGTGCGTCTTAGTTATTTATTAATTCAACACATATTGATTAAATTGTCTATTACTTGCAAGATCCTGAGCAGGCTAGGAAACTCATAACCAGGTAGAAAGACAAGTACACAGGGAGAAGTATATATACAAATAAATGTTGTATCTACTCTAGCCAAAGTGAAAGAAATTCCATCTGAAAAGCCCTAGAAAACAGAGAGGGGAAAGGAAGAGGACATGACTTCTACTAGAAGGGATTAGGGAACATATAACCCGGGAAAAGAAGGCATCTGACCTGGATTCTAAACATATATATGATTACAATGAATGATCGATCACTGAGGGTGAAAAGTATCCTAGGAGTAGGGGAAAAAGCATATATTCAAGGAAGAGCATATAAGTCTTCCATAAAATTTATGGAAAGCTGGGCTAGCAGGTAGCGTGGTGGTTAAGACGCTGGATTTCCACATGGCCAACCATAGTTCAAGTTCTGTTAAACCTGGCAGCTTGCTCTCTCACTTTTTCTAAAAAACTCTCTCTGTCTCTCTCTGGTGAGTGCACATGCCCTGTAGCAAATTTTAAAATAATAATAATAATGAAAAATTATTATTTAATAATAATAATAATGATAAATATGATATTAAGATAATGATAAATAATAATAATGATGATGATAAATAAATAATTTCTTAAATTATGGAAGCTATTTGGACACTAGAAGGAGAATGAACTGGAAAACTAGGTTGGAAATAAAAAATACAGGGACTGGGTAAACAATGTGGGGATTTTTTTAGTAGGCAAAGAGAAGTCATTGGAAAGTTTTTTAAATCATTAGATTTATCATTGTAAGGTAGTTCATCAGCTGATATTTTAACATTATTTTCAGTTGGACCGAGTAGAAATAGGGGATAACAGTTTGCTATCACACCCATCCAGGCAGGAAATAAGAGCCTGATCTGGAGTGGGAGTTAGGAAAAAGAGTGATAAAAACTATGCTGCACCCACTTCACTAATGATTTATGTTTTTGTTGTTGGGTTTTTTGTTTTTTTTGTTTTTAGTTTGTTCATTTATTTCTTCCATGAGCAAGAGAGACACACAAAGAGAGAGTGAGAGCCAGACAGCTGGAAAGACAGTACCCCCAACAGGGTCCCGACCCCACAATCCACCTCCGGCCTCAACCATCCCCAGATGATGGGCACACATGTGCCCGGCATACTCAGGAGAGTCTCTAATGTGGGTCACCCTGACAGAGTGTTACCTTTTATTGTTGCACCATCCTCCAGTCCCTACTCCTAGTTTTAAATGTTTCAAAAACTTAATTGGGCCTGCTGTTGTGGTACAGCAGTAAGGGAGCACTCTGAGATGCTGAAGCCACATGGGAAGGTCCAGGCTTCACATCCCAAGGTCTCTCTGTACACGCAGGGCATGAGCACACGGGCTGGTGAGCCTGGCTGACTGAGGCTAGGGATAAATAGCAGTGTGAACACCCTGTTGGGGATACTGTCTGTCTCTGTCTTATAGAAGAAACTATCTCTCTCTCATGGGAGGAAGGAAGGGAGAAAGGAAGAGAGAAAGAAAAGGAAGAAAGAAAATTTTATTATACAAAAGGGTAGCATTCACATTATTTCCATTAGAAACTATTCACTCCACAGGCATTATTAAAGTGGTCTTCCTTTTTAAAAAGCTATTAAGAACGAACCATATTCTAAATTAAGGCTAAAAAGTGGGTAATAGAGAACAGCATATGCATATTTTCAATATTCTGAATAGAATCTCAGTATGCACGACTTCATGGAGAATGAACATTTTAAACTCAAGTTTATTTCCATGGAAAATAAACAAAGCTTCGATCAATTTTTATGCAACCTTATGAGACCCACATCTCTACATAATTATAATAGCCAACTTTCCTTAAAATTATTTTTGGAAACCTTGACTCAACTTGGCCAATGTTTTCCTACTAGGCCAATATTTTTCAACCATTAGTGCCTTCTTCATTTCCTCCCTTCCTCCCTACTCACCTCCCCGCCCAACCATTTCCCTTTGTATGTCTGTAAGGGAAGATACTATAGGATATAGTATGATCCTAAGGCAGTTTGAATATATAATTCTTATAACGGAAATCTAGAATCATTAGCCTTACTTTTTATAAAAGAGGCACTAGTATTATACTACATTTCTATTCACATGGATGACAAATGTGTCTAATAGAAGTGATGCTTTACCATTAGGGGGAAACAAAGGGGGAAACACACACAATAGATGGGTGGCAAATCTTACAAACTTTACAAAACACTGAAAGGCTGCATGTAGATTGCAGCACAATTATAAAAGCAAATAAAGAGGGCTCCAAAATAAGGGGGAAAATATTAAGTGATCACTAAGAGTGAAATAGGTTTATTCAATACTAGTATTAGTTGTTAATATAGCATCATTTAATACTATGACTAATAAAAAAAAAAGGAAATTCACTGTTCACAAGGACACAGGAAACAATTTCTACATACCTCCCATAAGGCAGTTATAGTTCATTTTACTTGCACAGGCTTAAATCCTTTCAAAGGGTTTTCCAAAAATACATAGTCTTATAATAAGCGAGGTTCCCCAATGACACACAATTTATTCTGTGGGCTTCATTTTTAAAGATACAGCAAATTAATCCACAACAAAAACGGAGTCACAAAGGCCCTCTACTTATTCAAAATCATTACATAAAGCACAGTCTGTAACTGCAAATGGTTCAAAAATCTGACAGCTGATATCATAAAATGGGGTAGACTTTAAGGGGGGAAAATAAACCCAAAACTTTCCCATTTCTCCTTCTCCTTTCCCACCAGAAACACAAAATGTCTGTATCGGCCTCAGACAAAGCTCTAAAATAAAAAGACAGTATACGTACACTTTACATTCTGTGTATCCCAACCATCACATACATACATGCACATACAACATTCACAGGAAAGAGGAAGGTTTCTCTTCTTTCCTACTCTAAGAAACGAAGCTATATTAAACCCTACTCCATAAATCGTTAAATCATCACAAATTAAAGAGCAATAAAACATTGCAGGTAGATTTCTTTGAGAGATGATTGATATTCTGAGAAGAAAAAAAAATCTCAGACCAAGGCCATGACTGAATAAGAACACCCAATCCCTGAAAATCTCTAACCGGCATTTGGTTTCTGTGAGAGAAAAGGGGAGCCTTAAAATGAATAATCACATAGACAACTCAGTTTCAGAAGTTAACCAAGGTGAAAATAACAAACCAAATTAGACAAATGTGTGAAATGACAAGCTTTAAAAATTCTCCAACAGGGACTGACTGACTTCCAGAGCGGGATATAAAACATCTCTTCCAGGTAACAGGGTCTTTGAAAGCGGAAAAAAAGAGAGGGGGGGGGGGAGTGGAGGGTACGACAAAAACCTGAAGACATGCAAACGCAAAGTAGTAAAAATAAAACTGGCCTTTCCTCCCACCCCCACTCCAGCCTGCAAACTTTAACGTGTAAACCAGCAGTTTTACTGCAGCTCGAGCTGCAAATCTGCCCCTCATCCCGAACCTAGCACACCCTGGAATACTTGTCCTGAAAACATCCCCAAGGTCTTGTTAGACGCAAATCAGACCCATCACAAGATTCATATATTTTTTTTTTCTCCCAAGTACCTGGAGGATCCATTTCAATATAAAATATCAGTTCTGTCGAATAGGGCATCATCACCTCCCTCCAGTCTGCGTCATCGCGATCCATACTCCACACCGTATTGTACATCGCGCTGTCAGGGGCAGGTCGTCAGGAAATATATAGAAAGCATATATGTTTCTCTTTTTTTCCTATCTGATATTTAAAAATCTAAAAATAAATATCTGTAAAAGTTCCACTCGGAAAGGTACTTCGGGGTTTCCAACGGCCGGTACAAGTCCAGCCAACTACCAGGACGAGGACAGGTCCTCCCCCTCTTCTCCAACAGCACCCAGCAAAATGCCCCCCGAACTTCCAAGCTACGGGCTTTTCTCCTCCGAGGGGTACAGAGAGGCTTGGGGACGGAGAGCGGAGGAGTTAAAAAACGGCTTTCCAGAAATCTTTCCTCACTGTCGCTCTCCAAAGAGAAAATCTTCCACAGCCTCCAAATCTTTCCGCGGAAGCCACTTTTGTTTCCTTCGGGGGAGGAAAAGTGAAAACGGGGGGGAAAAAAGAACGCTTTGGGAGAAAGCTGGAGGAGTGACAAAAGAAGGCATAAAAAGAGGTTTTGGGACTGCGTTCAAGTTTCGGGGTCCCACTGGTCTGCAAAGAGCGATTCCCTCAGGGGCCGAGACTCGGGCTCCGTTCCGGTCGGGTTCGGAACCCAAGCTGCTGCAGGTTCGGAGCTGGGGCCCGTCGGAGAGTCCAGTCAGCTCGGCTAGGTTGGACGGTCCAGCCGGGGAGCGAGCAGCCCCGCTAACGCCGGCTCTCCTCACGCTCTGCCCTGACGCCAGCCACTAGAGTTTCATTTTAATCCAGCCACTAGAGTTTCATTTTAACGGCGCGGAGGGGACACCCTCCCCCGCCCCTACGCCCCCTCCCCGCTGGGGCGCCATCTAACTGCGCGGGGCAGGGGAGACAGCGATCACCACTGCCCCTTCCGCCTATCCCGCCTCGGTGTACTAAAGATTCTCTCAGGTTCCTGAGAAAATGCTCACAAAGCTGTCCTCCATGTCGACTCTGAACTCTCCCCACCGCGCTCTAGGCCTCGGCTCCTCCACCAGCCATCCTCTCTCTCCCCCAGCCTCAGTCAGAATGGTACGGCCCGGGCGCTGGCTGCACTCCAGGAGTCGGTGCCGGGAGCACGCGAGCCGGGCCGGGAGGGAGACGGGAGGAGGGAGGAGGGGAAAGAGAGGCAAGGGGAGTGTTGATTGGCTGATCCCGGTTGCCGGAGCCTGGAGCCTGCGTCTTTTGTCTGCCTTGCTCCAGCGAAGGAGCGGGAGACGGCTGCGCGCCCCCAGCG